AATTCAAGTCCGCATATAATGAATAATATATAAGCTCTGTTTGAAAGCGGGAACCTTTGCAAAAGAACGGTTTCCATAACCATTATTAACCATTCGAGCATTTATCTTTGTGCGTGTCACCTCAGTTCTAACAATAAGTCCCAGACTCGAATCCCTACTTCTATTTATTCTCTGTCTTCTGTCTTTCCTGATCATATATGCAAAATATACCACAAACTGAACATGGCTCATTGTTTCAGGAGATGAGTGCTTATTTTTCATGGCATAATTTTAATCACAAATTTATGTTGTATCTGGTAAAGAAATCCAGTAGTCGACTGTGGATTGGTCAGCCAGAATATAGCATGCTGTAGACATAAAAATATGGAAAGAACTCCAGACACTAGTTCTGTCTGGTGGAAAATTGTTATCTGCAAACACCATCCACATCCTCAAACACAGACCTATGAAATGCAAACAGTAGCATCTTGTGTCAATACCTTTGGCTGGTCATGCACAAGATCTGCTGAAATGTGGCCGTTAGAGATTTGAATCTTCAAAGTGAGAGCACTCCCCTCCTGGCGGGAAGCGTGGCCGCCTCAGGTCTGCGTGCATGAGCACTTCAGCAGACCTTACTTAAAATTCTCCTCCTTTTGCTACTATTGGAGCTGGAGTGCTGCAGATGTGCCATTTCATATACTCTACCTGTACATGTTAATGGCCAGTTCAAAACACCTGGTGTACAGTTCTTATTTCAAGCTGCTATATTCTGGCTATTAGATACAAAATAGGCTTTTTAAGCATTTTAAGTGTTTTGTAACCTGAACTTGCATGGTATATCATCCTAAATGTGATCAGCAACATCTGAGATACAGTTCCTGACTGCAAGCAGTTAAATTACTGCTTACCCATATGAACTGCCATCTGGTTTACTCCTGGAGTAGGAGTTTAACTCCTTAGACCAAGTTACCCTCTCTAATTCAAAACCTATAAATCTTCACCAATAAAAAAGGTAAAAAATAGTGGGTTTTTTTAAGAGAGAGAGAGGGAAAAAAAAAAGAAGAAACCCAGTTCTTTCATTGCATGGATAGCATTCTCCAAAGGGCTACAGCAATCTGGTTTTAATCTTAGTTATGATCCTAAGTAGATGCCTTCTTGACTCTGGCATCATCATGGCTGCAAAATAAGAAGCAGGCTCACTGGCACTGAACATATGCATGTCCTGGATTCGCTCTGCCTCCCGCTTGTGGAAAGCTGGCAAAAGCAGCAATGCTGTGTCTTAACAATTTTTTAATCCAGTTTATTGTGTTTATGGGACAAGCATACTGCATAGCTGCTGGTTGTCCACTTGATGGTATCAAGTAACAGAGCACAGGAGGGTACGGCTGCCTAATGCTCTCTATTCGAGCAGACGTGACTGGAGATTTTTATAACAGGTAAAACAGCTGTGTTATGTTCTTCACCTACACAAACAACTCCTGTGCTAGATTTAATCAGACTGTGCATAATTCAGCTTGCTGCTCAGATTCCACAGTCCAGTCTAGTCTATTCTGGACCAACCTTGCTGTGAAGTGGATAAATAATGCCTCCATCAGGAAAATCACCACATTTTTTTCTGTAAGAAGAGCACATTACTAATTTGCATTTTCAAAGACATTCTGTTATCTATTTCTGTGTGAAAACACATTAGGAAAAAAGCTACTGGAAATAATTTGTTCTCAAATTCTGTCACTATCAAATAATTTCTAAGCATTTTAATAAACTTTTATCTCACATCTTTCCCAGAACCAAGCTTTAGCAAAAAAGAAAAATGTAACTGTAAGCTGGAGCAAGGAGGAAGACTTGGCACTGCTCTTTTTCCTCTCACTCTCCTTCATCATGTTTCTCTTTGTCTGAGGATATGTTTGAGCAGACATGCGCATACACGAGAATGAACCTCTTCTTTTTCAGAGGTGAGACCAGGCAGGGCTAACACTTCTCCCAAGTGTGTAGAGGTATAGCTACCCATTGTGAAAAAAACCATGAAATTTCTTGGATATTTTAAAGTTGTGCTTTCCTGGTTTGTCCCGGACAGGAAAAAAAAAGGTTTCTTATCATACCTTTTCAGAATAAGAAACATCTAGCATGAGATTTGTTATTCACCAGGATAACAGCTTTGCATTGTGTCCACAGAAACATGGTGACCTGGCTCCTTTGGCAATCTTTATGATGTCAAGTACATGTAAATCTAATGTAAGAAGGGACTTTCTGTCTCAGGCTATTTAATTTCTGATGTAGAATATGCCTTGTCCAAAACAAACGGCATGATGTTGGGACAGAAGGATGCTTGGGCAGAAAGACTGCATCATTTGGCCAAGAAAAACATTGAGCCAGGTCACACTGACCTACGGTTTTCTGGGCCCCATATGGGGCACTAAAGCAGCCAGAGGATGTCCGTACCTGCCCTGAAATAACAAGAGCTGATCTCGGGAGGAAATTTCACCCTGGCCTAGATGGGGCAGCACCCACTTGCATACCAGGCAGGCAGCAGCAGCGGGGTGTGGGCAGCCATCCTGCCCCCGGTGGCGCCTCACTAACCCCCAATATAAAATGACAATCATATCCTGAGGGTTTGCAGTGTTACTTTGCTGGATGTCACCTCGAGCAGGGCTGAGTAATGGTGCTGGCTACTAACAGCAGGGGGTAATGTGAAGTGCCGGAGCTGGCGCCCCGATGGCTTCCAGCGCCTCGCGGGCCGCCAGCCACTGCGAGGCAGCCTGGGCACTGCTCATACCATACTCGGGGAGCCCATGCTACACACCAAATAAGAGCATGTGGGTAGTATTTGTTTTCTTCTGTCAGTTTATTAATTCCAAATATTATTTCATCTTCTGATTGCCAACAGATAGTCTGTGAGCGAGTCCTTGTTCTGAAAAGCACAGTTTGTTATTCACAAGTCCTGATCATAAGGTATGTGCTGCTTGGGGGAATTTGGTTGCAAGCTGTTCATTGCAACTATTAACTGTTTATTGTGAAGAAACTATCACCCAGGGCTATGTAATCACGATTTCTTCTCCCCGATTAGAGTCCACAAAACTTTTTGTTTAGAAAGAAGAGAAAAATTATGAAGAGTAAATGACTAGCTGTGAACTTCTGGTACACTCTATTCAAAGTTCAAGTAAGTATAATGAAACCCACAAAGCTTTTTGGATCCACATCTTCATGGTATTTGTGACTGCTTGAACACTTGGGAAACAATAGGTAATAAAACTGCACAAATATGACTCCATAAGGAAACTTGATTCATAGTACAAACCAATACTTTTAGTCTTGTTTGAGAAGTACCATAGTTGGACAAGTCTCTTTTTCATCCTGTGAATCTATATCCTGTAAGTAGTCAGTATTCACATGATGCCAACTAGGGTGAACTACATGTTTCTTTGATGTCTGGTCCTACTTTGAGAGGTTTCCCTGTTTTGCAAAGTGTACTGAGCACAAGAGACGTCATACAAAAGTGCTACGTAGGAGATGCACTGTGGTAATGCCAAGATGAGAACCAAACTACAGCAGGTCAATGCAGCATTTGGATGATAAGAGGCAGACGGGGAAGGACCAGAAACCAACAAGCTTCCCATCAGGCTATGTGTGCAGTTCCCTGGATGTTAGTGGTTCCTTTCTATTCAACCAAACCAGAAACAATGAAAACTGGCCAGTATGCATGGAAGAGTGAAGAAGGAACTGGGTAAATAAACAAGCAGAAAGAAAACTGGCTAAAATTAAACCTTCTCCATACAATGGGGAGTTAGTGCATGCTGCTCCCTTGGAAGCGAGCCGTTGCATCGGCTGCCTGCGCGCTCGCCGGGAGCCGGGCTGCTGAGTTACACACGTTTATCCTCCGCGCTCTAAAAAAAGAACGGGACGGCAGGGCGCTCCCGTGTTTTATGCCCGCACCGTGGGCATTGACAACCCGTCCATAAACCGCCGTAAATTAGCCCGGTGTTCCAGAGCTTTCCCCGGCGGGGCCGGCCGCCCCTTGCAGCCCCTTCCCTGGTGTCGCCCGCCATGGGCACCCCCTCCCTCCCCTGGAGTCTCGGCGCCCCTCGCTCTCCACATCTCTGAGCCTGGTGCTCCGCGCTCCGCACACACATTAGGCAGGGCGAGCCCCCCGCGCTGCCCAGGCCGATCCTGTGCCTAGGTGAATAAATTATGCCGATGAGGGCGGGAGGTGGGCCGGCGGGCGGGGGCGGCTCCGCGGCTGACAGCGGGGCAGCGCGGGCCGCCTGCGGGCTTCCCCGCCTGGCGCGGCGCGGCTGCTGGGCGCCGGCAGGCAGGTGGAGGGGCAGCAACAAGTCCGCCGGCGGCGGGGAGGAGAGCGGGAGGCGGAGGGGGGGCGATTCCCGCCCCGCGCCTGAAAACCTCTCTGACAAGTGGCAAACCGCTAGCAGAGCACGCTGCTCCTCCGGAGGGCGGGTGGAAGCCGCGGGGGCTCACCCCGCACCCAGCCCTGCTGCCGGCTTTTGGCTCCTCGCCACCTCCCCCCCCTCCCGCCGCCGCCCCCGCTGCGGGGGTGAGTCGCGACCCGCTGCCGGGCGGGGTGCGGTGTGGACTGCGGTGCGCGCTGCCTCTCAGCCTTGAAAGTGTGTGAGCCCCTCGCGGGCTCTTCTACTTACCGCATTTTTTATGTAATTTTTTTTTTGTTATTTATTTTCTCGTACTTTTTTGCCATTATTTTTGTTGCCGTTGTTTGTAAACTAATTGCCTCTATGGGGGGCGGAGGGAAGGAAATCAAAGCTGCCGCAGCTGAAGGGTGTGCGAGCACGCTGGGGAAGAGCCGAGGAGCCGCAGGACGGGATGGCAGCGGGAAGCCCGGCGGCAGCGGGAAGCCCGGCCTGGGGAAGCCTGGCTGCGGCGGGGAGCGCTGCCCGCGGCGGGCCGGGCCGCTCGGCTCGGCGCTGGCCGCGCTCCTCTCGGCGCTGGCCGCGGCCTCCTGCGTCTACCTGGGGGTGCGGACCAGCGACCTCCAGGCGAGGGTCGCGGCCATCGAAGGCGCCCGAGGGAGCTTCTCTGCCGCCGCCCCGCTCCCGCCGCTGCCTGGCTTTTCCCTGGAGCAGCTGAACGCGATGATGCAGGAGAAAGTGGAGCGACTTCTCGCCCAGGTGTGCGGGACGGGGGTGGCCGCTCTCGGGCGGTGTGCGTGTGTCGGGGATGGGAGATGCTGTGTGCGGGGCGGCGGGAGGCCGGACAGAGCTGCTCGGGCGGGAGATGGCGGGGAAAGCGGCGAAAGTGAGCCCGCATCCCCTGGGGGCGGCGGGGCCGGGGGGCGCTCCGGGCTGCTGGAGCGGGCAGGATGGGGTGTCGCGGGGGACCCCTCCGTACGACACCGGCGCTTTGCTCATCTGTAACTTGCTGCCGTCCCCGCGATTTTTGACCGCGCGTGTCGAGAAGGCGAAAAGGCGGGGGCCACTTGCGGCGGCGGTGGCAGAGAGTCGGAGGTGTCGGGCTTGGTTTTGTTGTTGTCGGGGTGGTGAAGTCAGTGAGACACCTTAGGCCGAGTCCAAGCGGAGAAGCCATCGTTGGCTGCATAGCCTATGGAATAGCGGTACATCCCAGTTTGCGGCCGCGGTCGGGAGCGCTGGTTGTGGCGGAGCTTGCTCGCCGAGTGCCCTCATGTTGCTTCTCTCGCCCACAGAAATCCTACGAGCACTTGGCAAAAATACGAGTAGCTAGAGAAGCGGCTCCAGAGTGCAACTGCCCACCAGGTAACAGGCACAGCTTGGAAATCTCTCTCAGGCTTGTAACTCTGGGGTATTTGATGTCCCAGGTTTTTCGAATACATGTAAGTCAGATCCAGGGAATGCCTCTTCAATCAACAGCAGTTCCTTGGGTGGAAAAGCTGTAAAGACCAGAATAATTTTTTTGCACCGTGGCACTGGATTGAAATTAGTGCTACTCAAAAAAACCCAGTTAGGCTGGATGTTGCCAAACAATAAAACTTATGAAGAAGTTATTGATCTACTTTAGCGAGTTGAACTATATTTTGTCTTAAATGGGGTAGTACTGAATCAAGGCATTGTGTGCTTAACTTGGGAAGTAGAACAAAAGTCCCTAGGAAAAATATTAAACAATTTATAACATGGATTGAAGTAGATGAAGAGTCTGTTGTAAGTTAAGAGTAATATATATAAGAGCTTTTTCAGTCTCATTTTTCTGTAGTCTTGGTTGAAAGCAGTTTCCTTAGGAAGGAATTGCAGGTTTCTTACTGAGTGTTTAGAACTGTGTGTGTTTATGCAACCAGAGATGTTGCTTGACTTTGGAAATGGGCCCTCCTAATACAGCCATCAAGTGTTCATACATTCACACTGAAATGTTTCCTGTGTTTTTCGTGCTCCTTTTTGATAGACTGATAACCGTCAATGTTGTTTTAGATTTATAAACTTCTTCTAATATATACCGAAGTTCAACTAGCAGCTTAAAAATTAAGAAAATAATGCCAGTGTTTCACAGGGTGATGTAGGAATGCCAGCATCCCCTGTGTGATGAAGAACACTAGATGAAGAGTATGCTTTAAATATCCTGTCACTCTGTATGAAAAACAATTTCCTTTACAGGTGGAATATCAACTGTCAGCAGGACTTAAGCTGATTATGCTTGCCAGAAGGATGTGAGATAGTACTGTGCATATAACGAAGGAGCTCTTCAAGTTTAGGATTTAATTCCTGCCAAACTCATCAGTCTGAAAGGACTACTGAATCTCAGTATTAAAACTGCTTGCAGTGGTTGGTACAATATTTTGCTCATGATACAGCTGAGAATAGAGTATTTACTGGCTGGTATAGGAGTTGCCATGGCTGTCATGAAAAGGACAATATATATGACTTGGTGTGTTTTAAAAGGGTGCATAGAATTACTCTACTGCCAGCTAGTTTTGGTAAGGAACATTGGTTTCCTGCCGTACTATATATATTTTTTTCCCTTTAAGGCTAACGTAAGCAAACTGTTTTGACCTTATTTTTTCTGTTGTTTAACTGCAATAAATTACAGGATTCAAGTTTGTGCACTGAAAATGAGGGTTACTCATCACGTTGTTTGCAGAGATGTATTCTGTGAGCCAGAAATGTTGTTGAATTAGATGCTTAGCTCTTCCACTTCTCCTTCTTCCTTGTTTAAATCCATCTGTTATGATGTTTTCACTTACTGTTTTCCTACTAGAAGTCAATATCTACTCTTTTATTGTCGATGTTAGGCACTGCTTTACTTCCCCACTACCACTAGAGCTCCACATTATACCAATTTTTATCTGACCTTTTTCCTTAAGAATTGTGTTTTATCAAATAGATAATGAGCAACAGAATATTTCTCACATGCACTGTAAAAATCCTTGCTACGTGAAAGTCAAAATAAAGTGATTTAGGAAACATTTTCAGGGGAGCAAGTTTCATAAGACCAGGAAAACATATGGATCATTATAAAATGAAAAAAATATAATGCAGAGAGGAGGGATTAGAAATGTGATATGGAGCTTTTCACCTCTCAGTAGCTGTTTCAGTTTGGAAGCAAGTTTTGTAGTGACTGAAAGATGTTGCCATATGGTAGCCTCATTTTGCACAGCTTAAAATGAGTTGATGCTCTCATGCTTGTTGCCAGTGGACAGTTGTCTACCTCAAAATGGCATCGTCTTGGGAGCCTTGTCTGAGATCAAGGGCTGACTTGCACCACCACCTGAGTACACTGCCTTCCTCTAGGCAGGCATTAGGCAGAGCAGGAGGGGACAGGGTGAATAAATCGTTGTTTCTGCATTTTGTTCACTCTGTTGGAATTCCTTTTTTGACTGCACAGGATGGGCTTTTGTTTTCATCCTTAATGCTGCTATTACAGATTTGGACTACTGTGTTCAAAAAGGCATTTGGGTTAATAAGAAAAGTATCATGGAAACCCAGTGGTTTTTCTGTCACCTGCTATTTGCAAAGCCAAAGAGTACATTGCCTCTTTACTTCCCCACGTGGTTCTCTTTTGCTGCTTTATTCTGCTCACCTTCTGCATTTCTTTCCTGGGTTTGTGTAATACATGTCTGTTAGAGATGAATTTGGAAGGCCTTGATGGTAGAGAAAAGTCGCAGTGCTATGAGAAAAGGTCGCTACCCGATGGCCACCAAGACAGTTTCCATCATCCTACTTTTTAAAGAAAAATGAAGATTATTTAAAAGTAGGTTACATTGTTCTCTATCTAAAGAAGATAAGGAAATTCAATCTGCAGACAGGAGGGTGAGAATGTGGCCTCTGGTTAAGGATTAAAGTTATGCAGCTGGTGTAGTTCTCATTAGCTTAAGATGTTCATCCCCTTTCGACTCTCCATGGTAGGAACCTGCACATTCAAAGGGAAGTGGGTTTGAATGGCTCAGATACCAATGGGAGCCAAATTCACAAGCTTGTAGCTTGCAGTGGTCCACATCTAGCTTCTTTTAATTCAACAGTAGCCTTGAGTTTTATCTGTAGTGACGAGTGATCACGTTTCTCATTAAAAACTTTATTCTCACTAAATAGGATTTTTCTAATTCTTGTTTTCTATTTTCTTATAAAAGAAACATGTTGTGAGGTGATGTTAGAGTTTTGATTTTAATGTTGCAGGACTAAAACCAGATACCAAAGATTTTGTAAATATTTAAAAAATTACAATAGCAGGCATTCTTTCTCTTCTTAAAGCAGAGTAATAAAGTTTGAAAAGTAAATTTGTGCTGACATTCCTCCTAAATTACCTCAGCTCTAATAAGAGTGCCAGCATAAATCTCATGCTTGAAACTGGTGCTGGAGTCACTGCTGGTAGTTGGCCCTCTGCACATGGGACTAGGGGGGCAAATTGAGTGGCTAAAATTATTTTAAGCATAATAAGTTAATTATCCTTTGCTAGATGTATTTTTTATTGTAATGTTTCTCTGCTGTAAAAGATGAACAGAAAACATAGGTGTGTAGGTGATTATTTAATACTTTAAATGGCTGTAGGAGCATAATTGGCCCTTATGAGGAACAGTCAAGCACCATGGTGGATAGTTCTTACCAAGTGCCAAGAATTACACAGTTGTGGAAAGAGTAACTCCTACAGAAAGCACAGGGATACTCCCCACTCAGTAGAGTTTTAAGATTTTTTTTTAATTGTAGGTTCTTCAGATTTTCCGCTTTCCAACATCATTCACGTGTATACCTAGGATGTAGACTTCAACAGAAATGAACATATGCTTGCATGTTTTAGTGATCTTATCTTTTAGATGTGTTGTAAGGGTCAAGTTCTGACACTTGTGGTCATGGGCCATGATGTCTCATTGTGTAAGTGGTCCTCAGAGCCTGCTCTTGGAGTCGGATAATGTTGGCAAGAGTCAAATCTATTAGTACAAGAAGTTCAGGCTTGGTCAGCAGGAAGGCTGTCAGGTGATTATGTACAGTTCTGCATGTCCCTTTTGGCCAGTGGCCAGTTTTAGGAAGCAATTACATTTCTTTTTCGTCTTCTCTTTTGAGGAAGACCTTTATAATTAATTTATTTTTTAAAGAACTGAGTTTTTAAAATTCTGCATTAACAAACTATAAGTTACATAACATAAGAGATGTCTTTTAACTCTTAACTATACAAGACACTGTGTACATATTTTCACTATAGGTTGCACGTAAATTTATGGGGTTTGTAGGCTTTGAGGTTTGCTTTAGGGTTTTTTTTTCCTTCCCAGAGCATTAGCTGAATTTCAGTGCTGGGGACCTGTCAAGGTTGACCACAAATTTGCTTTTGTTTTTCATTAGTGCCACAGGTAATGTTTCTTCCTTTGTTCTTTCTCTTGTATTTTTCCCTTCAAGAAATGTGTATTTTTCTTGTGACTTCAGTGCCTTCCCAGACCCCTTCCCCTTCTGTGGATTCAAGCCCTTTCCAGGCACAGCCACTGTCATCATTCTTTCTTAGCCAGCTATTTTGTGCTGTTTTTGTAATCATGTCATCTTGATTCTCTTGTTCCAGTCTTAAAGAGCTTTATGGTTTGGCATTTGAAGTACCTCCTGTTTCACTATGCAATTTGCTGCCATCAGGTTATAAAGCTTGTTTCAGTGTAGTTGTGTGCATACAAACCTGTTCATTCAGCAGATAAAATGCCATAAGCCAGGATTTTTTTTGGGGAATATAGAATACCAGTTGGTCTTATTCTGGTTATAGTAGTTTTAGTGGGAAAACTGTGTTCTACAGCTACAGTTCTTCAGTAAGATGATGAATCTGCTATATGTATTTTGATAGCAGCATGGAGGGCAAAAGTCAGTGTATTAGCATCACAGTACTATTTTTGTCATCTTAAGCATCTAATGTTTGTTTTGACATGCAATGGAAGTACAATTTAGGCACTCTTTCTTATTTCCACGTGTTCCATAGGGACTGTTCCCTGGAGCATTTCAATTAGTGAGGCTGAAAGAATGAAGGAGAAATCAATTTTGGGGATTAAAAGAATCCTGAAGTAGGTATCAGCAGGTATTACTTTTTAAATTTTTTTTATTATGCTTACAGTGAAGCAGTTCTGTAAAAACTGAAGAGGCAAAGAAAAGAGAAGCTGACTTAAGTGTTTACCAGTAGTGAGACCCAAAAGAAATTGCAGATAGATATAGAATGTATCCAAAGTGGTTTATTCCTGTTACTTAAAATTTCAGAGTGTGCTATCTGAACCTAGCTCCCAGCGCTACTTATTTCTGCCATGTCTGTATCAGCTATTTGCTGAATGCAGTTCTCAGCTCTAATTTTG